GAAGATTACACAATAAAATCTGAAGAGAAGAAACCATGGTGTAACTTCAGCTGAGTCAGAGGAAAAAATACCAAGAGAAGCTGTCTACAAAACATACTCACAAAAATGAACAGACAGGAAGATACTAACAAAAGGGTACTTTTAATTAAATATTAGGCTTGTGAGACATTTTCTGATGACAACTACATCATTCTCACAACACAAATGAAAGATGGATCAGGTCTGTTCTGTAATAATCATCGCAACAATGCCTGAGCCATGCTGCTTAAGCTGCCTCAGCTATCCCTGCTCATCCCTGCCCTGTACTGCCCTTTCCACTGTGCCAGAACCCTTGTTTATACTATCGTGCAGTGAATCAGATCAGGGAACAAACCTGGCAGGAAAAAAACAGAAGTTTTTATTTTGTTTGGGTTTTTTTGGGTGGAGGTTATATGTATTCCCTAATTCAGTTTACCACAGGTCTGTACTATGGGACTGTGGGACATTAAGTTCTGCACAGGCACACCCAGCTGCCAGAGGCAAGGGGGCAGTGACTACTTAGTTCACTGCTGCTACGAAACTGCTTGTGAAAACTACACTTCAGAACCCTTCTGGCATATAAAAAGAGGTCATGTCAATAGTCAGTCACAACAAGTAATAATAATAAACATTATTATATTTATTATCCCCTCTCAGCCCCCCAAAAACCTAGAGGCATATCACATAGCTACTCAAATTGAAAATCAGGCAAGGACACTTAAAGTTTCACCCAGTGATGGTGCTTTCAACAGCACGTTCCTGTTCCACGTCATTGTGCTGAGTAAGTCTAATCCATCAACATCACTATCATTGGATTTGGTTGAAACAACAGACAATGTAATTTAGTCAATTAACTTTATTTAATAGTTGCTGCAAGTCTCTCCTCTTGTAATGGAAATCTCAATTTAATATAAAACCACAAAGCTGAAAATACTTACACTGGATTATCCCTCCCTTTAGGGAAAAGAAAGATGGTAGGAAAGAGACTGGAGAAAGCAAATGCAAGACCTTCCTTGGTTTCAACTGAAACAAGATTTCCCACAAACAGAGGAGCAGATGGGATGTTGAGCAACTTTTCTGTTCTTTGAACCTGTGTATCTCCTGAGTGCATAAACTCTGAAGGACTCTTACAGAATATCTCCATTTACTATTATCTCCTGTTCAGATTTTTTGAATGCATACTTTCACTAAACTGGGCGCAGGGGGAACTCTGATTTTAATTAGTGAAATATACCAGGCATAACAGTTTTTTTGAGTTTGCTTTAGAGATTTCTTGGTATTAGGGTTGTAGGCTTCCAAAGAACAAGGACCAGAGTCAGGATCTGTACAAATAGCATGCTTGTTAGTCTGTGCTGGAATTCTGTGCCCCCTTCACTCCTGAGGTCATAAAAACAAATAATGACAAGATCTCACTAGTCAACCTCTCTTCACCTGGAAGTCCTCACTGCACAGTGCTCGCTCCATTACTTTTTTGCTGCTATAGAGAACAAGGTTCAATTAAACATTGTGCTTTAAAGCCATTCCTATCCCTGGCTGTGTCTTTGGCTAACAAGTGTCATAACTGCTCACTGACCCACTCTGCACGCTCCCAATAATTAACTTTTATAAAACAGAGTCAATATATTGAACTCTAGCAACACAAGTCAAAAATTTCACAATGTAAACCAGATAACAACCTCAAGGTGGCAGCAACGTTTCATCTATCCTTCTCAAGGTAGTGATTCGGAAGTGGTGAGATACCTCTATCCTAAACCTAAAAGCATGCATCCGAATTTTGATAAAGCTGTTTCTTTCAGGCTCTTTACAAAGGACATGGGATTTCAACAAGCTACTCAGCTTCAAAACCCAGGTTAGCCACCTCTGCTCATGCTGGCTATGAAGGTTGCCTTGGTTATCAATCTGCATGAGAAAGAGATCCTATATCTTAGATGATGAAGGATCAGGAACAAAATAAGTAAGTGCATGTACCCTTGACTTCTACCTGGCAGTATACAGTATTAATGAGACCAATAAATTTGCATAGTTTTTTTTAAAAATATATATATATTTCCTCAGACATAAGCTAACATATTTAGCTAGAATTTGATCAATCTTACTAAAGCAGTGAAATGGATTAAAATATCACTCAAGTTTGCTATAGTGCAAATAAGTGCAATAAGTGCTGTGCAAAACACAATGCAGGTAACAAGAAAAGCTAGAGTAAGGCCATCTTACTTACAACCTACAGCAGTTGGTAACTGTGCAGACACTTGGACATTTCAAGACCCACTGGCCGTTCTGTAAACATAATCATTTGTACATTGTGTTCTAAGCAAGTGTCCTACAGCAGAGGAAAGGCTGCACTGTGCTGTTATCCTAAATTTTGGGGTTTTTTTTTTTTTCATTTTACTAAAGTTATCCCTGCATAAAGGGACACAACTAACATGGGAAGTTGTGCACCGATGCAAAGGGGGAAGTGCCTAGCGCTGGTAGACTTTGGAGCTTGGGCAGGGTAGGGGACTCCAACAAAGAGCAATTTCCCCAGTTTTAATCGTTACCAGGGAGACAGAATTCTTTTGCAAGAGAACTCAAAAGGCTGGGAAAACTATGCACTTCGTGCACTTTTCCCTTGAACCAAATACAAATGCGCACTGTTTGTTAGGATTATCACCTAGACAGCTCAAAAAAACGAGGTGGAGGAGAAACAGGCTTTCCTAAAGTTTAATTTTATCTTGCCACCAAATACAGCACAAAAATCTGCCAGCTTCCTTTACCTAGGACAAGTCATAGCAGCATGTTCTGAACTTAATTTTAATTTGTGGTATTGAGGATTCAACACATTTTTTAAAGCCTCAGAAAGATGGGAGTATTTCTAACTCATAAAGAAATAACAACCATCTTTAACAGACATGTATAAATGCTTTTCAGCACCAATTGGAAAAAATATTTTTCTGTGATGGTTTTGTGGAA